CATCACTTGGTAGAAACATTCAACAACTTAACTTTTAACCATTTCCCTATGGCTATACTCCATAGGTTTGCAAAACTCCATTTCTTTTCTCTGTCCTTCTTATGCCCCAGCTGAGTCAGACAGCAATTGCCAGTGATTAAAGGCAAAAAAGCAATCATGAACACTGACAAAAAAGCTGGAATTAACCTCAGGTTCCATTAATGTTATTAGTTTGTCAATAAGACCAAATTAACTTTTCCAGAAATCTCACTTCTGCCAACTGCATGCTTTCCAGGCTAACTCTTGCACCTATGTCCTCTTGTTATCACTGGTTCCTGCCTTTTCTCTGCAACAACCATTTCTTCTATTTCTTCAAACTCCACTTCTTTGTTTAGGCTCAACCCTGCAGTATCATAAACATCAAGAGCCCTCTTCTCATAAGAAGTCATGTATTCAACAAATATTTATCAAGGGCTTACCAAGTGCCTGGTTCTGTGCAAAACACTGGTGCTGCCTTCCTGAAGCTCTATGAGTGAAGAAGATTAACCCGGACTAACAAAGCCTGTTTTGCTCCAACTCAAGGATTCATTTGTAAGAAAACTTCTACTACCAAAAGTCACGTTCTAAAGCAATTGTTCATAAAAGGTAAAAAGAGAAGTGGCCAGAGAGTTTCAGACTCAAAATACTAGATTCCTTTCTCCTGTAAGATAATTTCTACAATAAAATTCAAAGGTTCTCTATACCATCCAATCCAGCTTTCAGTTACATCTGATGTTTGTTCAATRGCAAAGTTGGTCTTCTAGCCCCAGCAGCAATGACAAGAAAGCACAACTCCTTATAAATATTATCATGAACATAACCCACTGCTGTGAAAAACAAGGCAGAAAGCCCACTTTGACACTTTTCTCTTGCTCAAAGTAGTGTTACTTTCAATAGTGGTTTGCTTAATGCAAACTGTATTCCCGAAATAACTCACCACTATGTAAGAGGAAGTCATGGGATGCTACAGAAGATTGTAAGGACTCATACCCAGCACGGGTGGGTTGGGAAGGCTCCCCAGGGAAGTGAGACTTCAGCATGAGCAGGAGGTATTAGGCAAGAGGGGAAGAAAAGGGGGGGAGGATTGTACCACGGCAAAAGGGAACTACATTTATAAAGAKCCCTAAGGGGAGAATAGATACACACATTTCCAGGAACAGAATATAGTGGAAAAGGGAGGAAAATAATATGGAAAAATGATACCACATAGGCAGGACATATGGTCTTATGAGTAGAAGAAAGAACTGAATTTTACATTGTGAGCAATGGGAAGCCATGCAAGGGTTTAAACAGAGGCTGAAATAATCATGCTTTATTTTAGGTTCCTCTCTCTACTCCATCTCTTCAAGCTGGCCTTCTTAAAAGAAGTCTGCACTTACTCATTTGTACTTCTCCCCACCTTCTCAACTCTGGGCATCTGTAAGACACTGAAACTGCTATTTTTAAATGAGGTATCTGTTTATCTTCTGGTTGCTTAACTCAGTGGGCCCTTGCAGCCTGGACCCTATTGGTGGCATCTGCAGCATGTGGCCCTGAGGACTACCAACGCCCTACAGTCTTGTACCTCTTCTCCCCCACTTCCTTGCTGTTCCTCTCCAGTCTTTAATGCAAGCATCTTTTCTCCTACTTACTCTTTTTTTAAAAATATTTTTTGATGTTGATGGACCTTTATTTTATTAATTTATTTATATGCAGTGCTGAGAATCAAACCCAGTGCCTCACATATGCTAGGTAAGTGCTCTACCACAGAGTCACAATCCTCAGCCCCCTATTTACTCTTACTGTACATGAAATAAGACACTCCTCCATAAAACCAAAGCCTGAATGTTCTCTGATAGATGAATGCTAACACACAATGGGGGAAGGAGGGCAGAAGCTCACTGGATTAGACAAAGGGAAAGGGGGCTGGGAATGGGAAAGACAACAGAATGACTCAGACGTCACTTTCCTATATTCATAATATGAATACACCAGTATAACTCCACATCATGTACAACCACAAGAATGGCAAGTTATACTCCATGTATGTATAATATATCAACAATACACTCTACTGTCACATATAACTAGAAGAACACATTAAAATCAATAAATTAAAAAATAAATATTCCATCCATGGCATCCAGCATATCCAAATCTTCTAATTAGATCACTCTTATGTTTTTATCTGCTTCCCCATTCAGTGCTTCCCACTACCTAGCTGTCTCCTGAAGAACAGGGACAGTTCTGAGGTAGGTAACCTCAGTGCCTAACACTGGCACATAACAGGGATGTTATGAGAAAACAAAAGAAAATATGGTCTTGCAATGAAGCCCTTTAGGAAGAAAGTTCCAGAATATATATGTGTCAGGAGCAGAAACTTGTCAGTGGCATTCCCTGCAGAATTTTCAAGTCCTAGAGCAAAAGCTGGCAGGCCATTGGTCAGTACCTATTTATAGAATGGTTAAATGGATTTTCTAGAATAACAGGAAAATATTTAACCCAAACTCTTCCTGACTTGCCTTTCATTATTAACTTTAATTGTTTGTGACCTACTTTTATTATAACACTAGTACATATAGCATGGTGTCTACTAACCAAACAAATGCTCTTGTTCTTACATTAGGAAAAATTAATGATACACGCATTGACCAATCAAGTAAATTACAAGATTCCTAGGAATTAGAGTATGTAAGGGTTTGCTAAACCACCTTCAAACCAGATGTAAAATTTTAAGAAGTATGTGCATTTTTTTCCGACAAAAGGGGTCACAACTTTCATTGAATCCTCAAAAAATAATAATTAATCAAACTGTTTAACCAAAATGTTAAGCTGAATTAAACTGCACAGGCCCGTAATCTGAGTCTTGGGAGACTGAGACAGGACAATCTCAGTTCAAGGCGAGCCTCAGCCAATTTAAACCTTCAGCAACTTGACAAGACTCAGTCTCAAAATAAAAACAAATACATAACAAGGGTGGGAGTTGTGGCTTAATAGTAAAGCACCCCTGGATTCAATTCCTAGTACAAAAAAAAAAAAAAAAAAAGCTGTAAAAGCTGTAGCATTCACCTTTTTCCTCTTAAATATGATTTTGGTTTTATTACTGGTACCTTGAAAACAGCAGTCTAAGACAAATGTAACAAGATACAGCTGGGAAGATCACATAAAAATTCCTACTAGAATTTGCATTAATGATTCTCTATAATAGGAAGAGTCCTTACCAGTACATCTTTTAAAAAGCTAGTGCCTTGGAGCTGGGGTCATAGTTTCAATCTTCAGCACTGCATATAAATAAAATAAAGGCATTGTGTCCACCCTCAACTAAAAATAAAAAATATTTTTAAAAAGTTAGTGCCTTATTGTAACATACTCTCACCAATGTGAATCAGGGTATTTAAAATACTGCCTCTAATGTGTTCAAGAACCTTAACATTCCAAACATCACAATAAAGGAAATATTTTTTATTGTCATCTAATTAAATGGAATGGAGAAAAACCCAGGATCACTCAGAATTACAGGAAGCCCCCTACACACACACACACACACACACACACACACACACACACACACACACACGGTGAGGCAAACATGCCCTGGAGCAGCATATAACAAACACTCAACCAGTAAATTCAATCTTTGGAATAATATGTTAATGACTAGACACTACAGCATAAGCAATTAAATCACCTCTAAAAAAGATAACGTTTTAACTAGCACAGTGGCTCAGGAMCTGTAAACCCAGCGATTGGGTAGCTGAGACAGGACTACAAGTTCAAGGCCAACTTGAGCAACTTAACCAAAAACCGAGCTCAATTTAAAGTAAAAAGGGCCCTGGGTTCAGTCTCCAGTACAAAAAAAGAAAGAAAGAAAGAGAAAGGAAAAGAAAAAAGATAAGTTAAAAAAAAAAAAAAAAAAGCTAGTCACAAGTGTTCATACTATGGGTTGCATTTTTAAGAGCTGAATCGACAAAATTACCCTGTGGTTAGAGACAAGAGAACAGAGCTAGCCTGTGGGCATCAGGGCATCTTCTGGAAGGGCTGACTTTACAAGGCTGTGCTTGCACAAGCACATGTAGCCGTGGAACTTGTTCAAATGTCTGGGAGCTGTGAGGCTCACTGGTGCGAAGCATGCCTCGGTGAAGACACTGTCACACTGCACCACCATGGCCAGAGCCTTTTCCTCGGGGAGGGACACCAGCAAGAGACACCAGGCCCTCCGGGGCCGGAGAGTGGCGGTGCCTGTCAGAGCCCACAGGCCACCCGCAACCACCCAGGCTCCGCGAGGGGGCCGGGCGACCCCGACCGCGCCAGGCCACAACACCTACCAGCAGGTGTCCAAGAGCAACGCCTCGCCCGGGGGTGTGGGCACAACTGGAGGATGCGGCCGGCGTCCCGGGCGCACACGAGGGGGCTCCAGAGCAACACGGGTCCCCCGGGACCCCGCGTCCCTCCGCGCGCAGACGCACGGGTCATGCCGGGTCCCCCTGAGCCCATACCGGTCCCCTGAGTCCACGCGCACACGCACAGATCACGCCGGTCCCCCCGAGCCCACACGGGTTCCCCGAGTCCACGCGCACACGCACAGATCACGCCGGTCCCCCCGAGCCCACACGGGTTCCCCGAGTCCACGCGCACACGCACATATCGCGCCAGGCCCGGTCCACACGCACGCGCCGGGGCCCCCACAGGTGCCCCAGTTCCATGAGCATTCCCAGGCCCCCGCGCCCACCGGCCCCGGCCCCGCCGCGCCATCCACGCCGCCACCAGGCGCCGCTGTGGAGCCGTCCTCCAGAACAACGTTCGCGCTTGCGCTAACGAGGAGGCCTCGCACCACGTCTTTTCCTCAAAAGTGGCCCGACAGCGGTCGGCGCAGGCGCGCCCCTGACGCGGCCCGCGCGCCGCCACTTCCGCCCTGAGCGGGAGCGGGGGAGGCGGGAGGGAGCCGGCGGGCGCGAGCCTGGGTCCCCGGAGGACGGCAGCCGCCGCGCGGGCCAGCGACTCACCAGGTACAGCGGTTGCCAGCGACACTGAGCATCCAGCTCCTCGAACTCCCGCTCGACGGTGGCGGACATGGCGGCGGGAGCGAGGTGGCGCGAGCAGAGCCTGCGCCGGCAGAGAGGCTCAGGCCCCGCACGATCCGGGGAGAGCGCTGGCGCTGCGGCGCATGCGCGCTCCGCGCCCCGCCCCGCCCCCGCGCCGGGCCGGCCGGCCTTGGGGAAAGTACCTGGAGCGTCGGACGTCAGCGCGCCGACTGGGCGCCGGAGCGCCGCGCGGGCCGGACGTCGGTGGGGCGGGGCGCTCCGGGAGGCGTGACCCGAGAGCGCCCAGGTGGGAGAGGGCGGGGCCAGGGGACCACCGGCTGCTGCGGCGGGAGAGCGGGCGGGTGGGAAGAGGTGGGGCAGCGCGCTGCCAACTGGCGCGGCGCCCGCAGAGAAGGGCCGCCGCACACCCCGGCACGTTCCGCCTTTCTGCCGGCTGGACCGGGTCTCGTTAGTCTTCGTTCTTTAAAAGGCAGCATTCTTTAGCCGGCGACTGGGTCGGTGTCTAGCTGGAACGCGCCCCCATCTCACGTCAGCCGCTCTACGCCAGCCGTCCTACTATGCTCAGTACACCTCTCCCGGAATTTGGGGGGAAAGCACCTTGTTAAGGGAAGTTCAGCAGGTAAAAGTTAGTGTCACCTGTACAGCGAATTCTTTGTCCCCAAATGCGCTAGCGAGGGAAGTCCCCTTGCTTCGGATTTGAGAGAGCTCATTGTTAGGAGCTTACCTGCTTTTATCTTACTATATCATCAAGAAATGTGCGGGGTAAGAAAATGCTAGCTGTGCAGTCTAGGGTTAAGATTTACATTTTAGCTATCTCTTAACAAAATTAACAATTCACTGGAGCTGGAGACGTAGCTCAATGGTGGAGCACTCATTCTAGCATGAGTGATGGCCTGGTGCCACAGTACCACAGAAAAAGTAGAAGAAGAAAAATTCAGTTCCTTAGTGGACTAACCACATTTCAGGTGCGCAGTAGTCCACAAGTGCCTAGTAGCTGATTATCACAGCGAGCTTAGGTAGGATATTTATATTATCAAAAAAAATTCTTTGGGATAGAACTGAGAAGATTAAAATACTGGGAACAGAATAGTGACTTTAATCACGTAAAGTAATGAAAACACTAACCAGGGGGGGAAAAAACCACAGGCTGTAAAAGTTAGAAGAAATCTGTAATAGAAGCTGTCAACAGGTTCTTTTTACTTATATCTGTAACTTAGGACACATAGAAAATCACCTTCAAAAATCACAATCTTTAGGGGCTGAGGCTGTAGCTCAGTGGCAGAGCACTTGCCTGGCATGTGTGAGGAGGCACGGAGTTCAATCCTCAGCACCGCATATAAATAAATAAAAAAATCAACAACTAAAAAATGTTTTTTAAAAATTAAAACCTTTAGTTTTCCTGATTTCTGAAATTATGTCATTGAAACTAAGTATTTAGAATACCCCGCAATTGTTGGCCTCAGTGGGATTGCTGAATTATAGTGTATATGTGTGTTCCATTTTATTATACATTGATAAATAGTTTTCTGAAATTGGTCACTGGACAACGATGCCCAGTCCTGTCATTTCTATTCAACAACATATAACCATAGGGACAAGTAAGGAAAATTGAGAAATGGCATAATGATTGGAAAGAATGAAACAAAATTGCTATTACTATAGCCAATATATTGAATGCATAGACATCCAAAGTAATCTACAGGTAAACCTTATCTTAATAAATGACTTTAGCAATAATCCTGAATCAATATAAGAAAAATCAATTGTATTTTTACATTGCAGCACCAAATAGAACATTTTAAATTTTAATTACAAATTATTCAGAAAATTTTTTGACAAAACATCAAGACTCTAAAATGAAAGAGAAACAGCTGAACCAAGTAAATGGAAGACTATGTGATGTTAATGGCTTGAAAATTTTAGTATTGTTAAAGTTGCCAATACTTCTCTAAGTAACCTATAAATTCAACGCAATCTTAATCAAAATCTCAGAGATTATTTAGTGGAGATTAACAAACTGAATTAATATTTATATAAAAATGCAAAGGGCCTAGAATAGTCAAAATAATCTTGAAGAGGAAATAGGATTTTACCAGATATTAAGACTTCAAAGCTATGGTAATTAAAATAGTGTGTTATAGCACAAGCATAGACAAATAGAATAATGGAACAGAATAGGATCCAAAAACAAACCACCAAAAATAGCCAACAAGAGCAGACATAGAGGACTTAAAATGCCAAAACCTGCAGTGAAGGTGGTGTGATATAAAGGAAGGAGAGTAAAGAATAGGCTCGCATGTGAACAGCCACATAAGATGTGTGTTTCCCCAAGGTTGGTGCTGGTAAAAGGGGAGTGATGGCATCTTCCACAAGTGGTGCTGGATCCAAAAGAGCACACGTTGCCTGTTTCCATCCACATGAATTTCAACAACAGGCAACAGAACAGTGACTGACTGGGGCAGCACAGGTGATGTGAGGTATTGACTGGGAAGGAGCATGAGGGACCATTCTGGGATCCTGGAAATCGGCTGTCTTAGCCTAGGTGATGGGTGCACTGTTTTACGTGATATATTCTGTGTGTCTATAATCATTGTGCTGAACATTTAAGATTTTTGAACTTTATAAAGTTAGTACTAACCTCAAAATTATAATAAAATTAAATAAGTGGTGCTATTTCATTTAGAAATGGAAACTACACATAGTATTGCACATGGCATTTAATGAGCTAACACCACCTAGTAAATATAGTAAAACTATATATCCAAAGTTACATAATGCACCTAGAGTCTCTGAAATCGCCAACCACTACAAAGTATAGATAAGAACCACACAGGATTAAGATAGCAATTTACTCATTCCATATTTTGGAGACATGAAGTGTATCTGCTGCTTAGGTTATACCAAATGTAATTAATGTATCTAACAGAAATGCTAACACTTATTCAACTTTGTGCACAGCCTCCAAAATGGCTTTAGTAAAAGACCAAATAAATTATAGCTTAAAAAAAAAAAAACTTTTTAAAAAACTTCCTTTTCCATTACACAGCATGTATAGTGGACTTTCATGGCATCTCAGTATGCTGGTTACTAATTSTTGAATTTAAGCTCCAAAGTCTTCCCTTTTTGACTTCTCTGTAAGAATGGATCTGGGCCCTGTAACATTCTTTTGCTTATTGCTGTGATGTTAAGCTTTGTCAGTAACAGGCTGGCCATGGACTGGAGAGTCAAACAAAAAGTAAACTAATTCTAGAGAAGAACGTGTGAGAATACTTCTACAGCTATTTTTTTTTTTTTTATGCTAGGCATTGAACTCAGACATTGTAGGATAAAAGGGCTTGCTTCCTGGTTGGTGTGTGCTTGCTCAGCATGATCCTTCAGCCCAGAAGTTTCCTGCAATAGCCACCTGGGGGAGGGAGGCAGCATAGAAGAGGACCTCCAGTGAGATATCTCCACTTGCACAGTTTCCCATACCCCTGAGAGAGAGGGCAGGATAGTAGGTTGAATGGTGCCCAAAAATACGTGTGTCCAGAACTTGTGGTGGGTATTTGCAAATGTAATTAAGCTAAGTAGTTTAAGTGAGGATCATCCTAGATTATCAGGGTGGGCCCTAAATTCAATAACAAGTGTCTTTCTAAGAGAAGGGCACAAAGAGAGGCGAGTCAGAGGAAAAGGAAGATTCAGGCAGATTAGGTGATGTAGCCACAAGAACACCTGGAGCCCCAGTGCTGGGAGAGACAAGGAAGGGTGCCTCCTAAATCCTTCAGAGGGTACACAGCCCTGCGGACACCTTGAATTTGGACTTCTGGCCTGCAGATCTGTGGGAGAATAAACTACTATTGTCTTAAGCCACCAAGTTTATTGTGATTTGTTACGGCAGTCAGTTGCATAAGATTTCTAAGTTCTAACCAGCAACTCATCTGGAGTTCAGTGAGCCAACAATGTTCTTCTCCAAGGGGGCTTGAGAAGAGTGACAGCTGTTCTTGTGCCCATTATTCCACATCCTTTAGACCTCTCTAAAGTTTTTACTTGTAAATCCTTCATTAGTCCAACCTGCTGTAGTTAATAATTCTTATTATTAAATTTTCCCTGTCTGTATTGTGTGGTTTCTCTCTTCTAATTATATCCAGACTGATGCTCTGAAAAATATGAAAACTAAAAAATATGACAACTTTAAGTTTAACTTCATGCATGAAGAAAGGTCCATATTTTTTCTTGGTATTTTGATATAAATGTTTAATTACTGAATGAATGAAATMATGATATACATGTCCATGGAATTCACCTCCCCTCAGCAGATCCCCTCCACCCTAATAACCCTTCCAGGTAGGACAGAGGGACAAGTGTAGGCCAGTGATGCTGAGTACGTTGGCTATGCAAAGGAAAAGAACTCATCCTGACCACCGTCTACCTTAGACCATTTCTAGTAGACAATTCTCATGGACTAGAGAGCCGAACAAAAAGTAAACTAATAGTTTCTAGAGAAGAAAATGTGAGAATATTTCTACAGCCATATATTTTTTTKTGTGTGTGCTAGGCATTGAACTTAGGGACTTGCTTACAAGAGACAAGTGATCTACTACTGAGCCATACCCCCAACCCAGTATGACTTTTATTAATGAGACACAAAAATAACTAAACCATGAAAAATGTAAATTGGGCTACTTTAAAATTAATGATTTCTACCAGCAGGGTGGCACCCACCTATAATCCCAGCAACTCTGAAGGCAGAGGCAGAAACACTACTAAATTAGAGGCCAGCCTCAGCAACTTAGTGAGAATACAACAGTTACTAATAGGGCATTATGTAAAAATGTGGATGTGTAACCGATGTGATTCTGCAATCTGTATTTGGGGTAAAAATGGGAGTTCATAACCCACTTGTGTATGAAATATGATATGTCAAGARCTTTGTAATGTTTTGAACAACCAATTAAAAAAAAGAAAAAAACAAAATAAAAATAAAAAAGACTGAAGATCTAACTTAGTGGTAGGGCTCCTCTGGGTTCAATCCCTGGTACCATAAATAAATAACAATTTCTGTTCAGCAAAAGATGCATTAAGAAGGGAAAGAAACAGCAGCCGCACTGGAAAGATATCAAAGCAAGGGCAAAGAAAGAAGATCCTTTGGGTTATCTCT